TTATCACAAATACATTTATGAATACAATGTATTACCTATATAAAATATTATGAAAAGACCTCTGCTAGAATCAAAAAAATATCATGGAAGCGGCAGCTAATAAAATTCTTTTGTTCACCGAAAAAGATGTCCTTTGACCTTGAGCTGGTGGCTTGACATGATGTTGAGGACCGATATGATGTTGTAACCATATCAGCCGTATCACCATTTAAAATCAGAATTAACACACGTTCCGGCGACCCGCGAAAATTTGAATTGGACCAATTCTAGTTTAGCGCCCACTCGAATTTTTCGATTTTTTTTTTGGAAACCTATGAATTTCGACGAGTTTAAAACGATGGTGTAAAAATTAGTTTGCGGAAATGATTATTTTGGAAGTTACAGCCTTCCAAAGTTTGCGATTTTACGTTTATACGCATGCGCGCCACACTATAATGCCCCGCGGAGGACGTCGATATTTTTATATTAAAAGTTACGAGTCCGTACTCCGTATGCATAGTTAATTTGTGTTTTCACTCGTTGACGTGTTTACATAAGTATATAGTGACTCTCTTTGCCTGTCGGCTCCGGTCGCCAGTTAGAGTATGTTGACTATGTTGATTTACATAGCTGTAGAAAATTATTAACAAGTTCAGAATTGTACATTCAACAAAACTTTACGTATGAAATATTCTTTATGATATGGTACTTTATGGAAAGTATATAATATATTATTGTTATATTTTGATTCTTAGAGAAGTGGTTGAGGCTGACGAATTCCTATCATTATCATCTGAACAGTTAGTTAAATTGATCTCCAGTGATGAGCTTAGGGTGCCATCTGAAGCAAAAGTAAGCAAACTAAAATTGATTATTGTTTTAATTTAGTATTAGGGATTGAAATATTAAACTACTTTCATATATAATATAATTTTTTTTTTTTAATTAGGACCCAGATGTGTTGTTTTTCTAAAAAATATATATATGAGACACAAAAGATGTCAAAAAAAATTATATTTTAATGATACTAAAAAACACACTTCTAAAATTTGTATTTAATTTAAAATTTTAAAACTGGATAGGTTAGGTTAAGTATTTAAAAAGTTTGTTTTTTTTTTTTAATCAGAAAAAATTCTGAATCAGTGAAAACAACCTCAACTAAAGTTTTTACCTTGAGGACTAGTTATTACAGTTAACAGCATGACATATACCTATACATTTACCTATTGATAAATTTAGAATTAGGAACTGACTCACGGAAAAAAAATATTGGTTGGTATAACTAAATTTACAATTACTCCAACCAAAAATGACAGTTATATATGGCATAACTGGACAATTAGTTGTAGTTACTAAATTCATTTAGGTAAACCGTTTAGTTGGTCAAACTTTACTGTCTAGTTACATCAACTATTATTTTAGCTGTTTCAAATAAATATTTTAGTTGGTTTACCTGTACAAAATGTTTGGTATATTTCTTTGAATTTTTCACAACTATATAGTTTAGTTGGATTAACTATCCATTTTAGTCGGTTTAACTGTACAAAATGTTTAGTATATTTTTATTTGAAGTTTTCACAACTATATAGTTTAGTTGGATTAACTATCCGTTTTAGTCGGTAGCCGGTTAATTTATTTATCCCCTCCCTACAAATTTTTTTTTTTAATATGTGCCCATTTATTATTAACCACTTATCACTTGAAATTATAAAGTATCATGGGCGTAATCAAAGGGGGGGGGGTCATAAGGTTAACCCTCCCCCTCCTTTATAATTATTGAGAATGCAAGAAGACAAGGTTAGGTAGACATTATGTTTATTAAAATAATTTTAATTAATTATTAATAGGTTTATATAATGTTGAAAGATTAAAATACATAATATTAAATATTATATTTATATATACAAAGTAAAGGATAACATAAAATATAGTACATAAATAATAGTAACCATAGCAAAAAACATCAAATCATAGAAAGAATATAATCTTAAATATAAACAAAACAAAACAAAAAATATACTATAACATTAAACCTAATATTTTATGGGTATATGACACAAACCATTGGGGGACTTACAACACACTGTAGGATTTATACTAGCCAAAGTTTCAAGTGAATTACAAAATAACTGATTACTTAATGTCACATTAAAAGCTTGATAATGATCATCAAAATAATTAGTAGTAAAAAGTTTACAAATAACAAATGGTTTATTATCATTTAATATTACTAATGATTGTATTAATCCAAATTTTGGAAGATTATTTTCACCATCGTTCATACTTAACACAATAGTCATATTATTACAATTATATGTTTGATTTTTCAACTTAATCCATGAAACAAAAATTAAATTATCATTTAAAAAATTTAATTTTGTAGTTGCAAAATACATATTATTTTTGTCATAGCTTTCTCTTTTTGAAAATGATAAATTTAAAATACGCCCTATTTCTAAACCACTGCAGTTAATATCTTTAGATATAAGAAATCTGTAAGATAAATGTAATTGATGTTTCAGTGCTAATGTATAAAGTACATTTTTCCTAGACGAAGTTGACTTTGCAGCATCTTTAAATTGCTTATGTTTAGCCTCAAATCTCATAGACCACATCATAGATAACGGGCCACATTTTTGTATTATCATCGGATAGTGTATCATATGGTGATGTTTTGGCTTTAAATTTGTGTTAAATACTTGCATATAAAGTTCATGATGTTCAGATATTAAAACTTTTAATAAATTAATATCATTTAACTTAATAGTTTTACTGAAAACAATGTCTACAATTTGTCTAAGAATAGTATACACTTGCCACATTTTCAAATCTTCTGGTACTAAATCACCAACTATCAGACTTAAATACCTTACAAAACAATACATTTCACTAGCAGACATTTTTAAAGTACCGGTGGGTTTTAAGGAATCAACAGAAATAAGAGGCGGCCTATTTCGTATGTCTATTGTACCATAGTTAAATGACTCAATTCTATCATTTAAAGTTTTTAAAGTAAAATATTTAAAGCTAAAAATCATTGCATTTAACATAAATCCAATATCGTATTTGCATACCCCTTCAAGTAAATCGTGCATAATATCTACTGCATAATTTTCGGTTACATGGAAAGAACTAATTTCATTAAACACACATGCTTCTTTTATGCCAGTTAAACTCACATTATTAATTTCTATATCAGAATTATATGTGTCAATGTTTCGAAGTTTATCATCTAATTGATCATTTTGACTATGACATTCAGTTTTAGACAATTTACAAAACCGACAAGGATAATGGGCAACAAAACTCTCTGTAAAACCTAAAACAGAATGTAAGCCTAAATTATCTCCAAATATTAGACCAAGGGAAAAGAAAACACGATATAAAATACCTTTTATGTTTATTAAAATACCGATATTTTCTAAAAAGTTTAATTGATCAATGATGTGTTTGAATATTGCATGGTTTCCAAATTCTGTCCTATCAAATGATTTAAATAACCCTGCTAAAAATATGTTGCTTATTGAGGAAGATAATTCAGGAGGCAAACAAGGCAATGAAATATATAAAGCCCCAAGTTTTTGACTTCCAGAATGACTACCAAGAGGATTTGTAATTTCAAAGTCGTCAAAAAATAAAAAAATTGGCAAAACAATTTTATTTGGATTTTTTTTTAGTTTAGAGAGCCAAATTGGAGATTGTGTAAAACTACTAATACAATTATCTGATTTGTTTTCTAAGTCTTTCATATAATTTACTATAGTAATAAATAAATTTGAATTTTCTAAAATAAGTTTTAATACATGTTTAAGAGGTATATCAGACATTTCAATTGATTTTGGTTCAAAGATTACACGGCCAAGTACAAGCCTGTCATTTAATCTTTCTCCTACATCTACCATGTCAGGTTTAACCAAAACACCTACTTCTTCAAAAGCTTTGAAACGTAGATGTTCTGTTTTTATATCAACGAATGGACTTAAAAGTACATCAAACATAGCAGATATTTCTTTTATTTGATCTGAACTACTATTTGTCTTTAAACTATTTATAACTTTATTTTTTAAGACATGTAAAAATGAATTATTAAAATATTCAACATCATCAAACAAAACTTGAATTTCTTTCCTGGGAATTACTTTGTTACTATACCACTTAGCTGCTAGTAAAAGTGTATTTGTTTTTAAAATGTGTTTAAATTCTTCTATTCCTATTAAAGGTACAGAAGTTGTAATGTTAGAGCTATTAGGTATGTGATCATATTGAGTTTCAGTATGAACAGCAGTAGGTACATTTACAATTGTGTCTAAGCCAGGGTCTATATCAAAAGTTTGACTTTGACTATTATTTTCATGTTGGTTCATGTGATTTTTATATGAGCGTAAATTACTAAAACTACGAAAACAAAATTGTTCATTACACTTAAATTCAGATATTGACTCTATTTTGTGAAAAATATTTAAATGAACAAAAAGATGGTTATTACATTTGAAAGATTTTTTACATAAAAAACAAGAAACCATTATAGTGAATTATAGTAGGAGTTAATTTATTAGGCCTTTAGAAAAAAACAAAAAATACAGTTAGGTCTGTAATGTTGTATATTTTGATAAGCAAATGACATATAAATAAAAAAAAATTAATAACTGAAATATTAAGAAAACCCTTTTTCTTTAAATTAATTTACTAAACATTTGTTACACAATGAATTATTTAAAAATGATTTAAGTCATTGATTAAAGTTGTAACTGAAGGGAATTTTTTATCATTTTTGTCAAAAATTTCAAAAAAATACTGTTGGATAAAACTCCATATATGTTGTACTTCGATCGGATATTGTAAGTTTAAAGAATAATACGATTTAAAGCAGATATCTAAAGCTTTTAGAGGAGTCTCTAATTTGTAATAAGTGTTATTTATGACCGTGTATGATTCAATAGGTGTAGGATTGGAATGGTCTTCTTGATATGCATCTACATTATGTCCAACAATAATAACATACGGCTGTAAGGTAGTTCCAAATTGAATTGATTTGTCTACTTTTTGTGTGTGGCTTGTCTTTAATTCATTTGCATCCTATAATAAGTAAAAAAAAATACAGAAATTTTAGTTACTTTTGGTTTAAGGAGTAGGTACATGAAAATGTCACATGTGTATACTTGTATTAAAATATTATGAAGGATTCAATAATATTTTTATTTTGAAAAAAATTTTAATAATTATCTATGAAACTTACAGCAATAAACTTTATGAAAGCCGAAGCTTGCTCCACTTTAGATGGACGCCAACTCGAAGGTGTACTACAATGTTTTCTTTTTTTATCCAATTTTAAAGTAATTGGTTGAAATAAAAATGGTATTAGTCTCAAGGCTGCAATGGTATCATTACCTAGGTAGATATTAAAAATATTATAACTTATTATATTTATGAGGTATAATATAAATATTATGACATTATGTTAAATAGTTTACCAGAATTTGAAGGAGCTCTAAGTTCTTGTAGTACCAAAGTCTCTTGCACGCCAAATTTGATTTTGTGTATTTCAATATATTTTATTAATTTGATAATAAAACCATTAAACTTAGTAAATAACAATAATTTCTTATCTGCTGGATATAGTTCTTCAAAATCAATTTCAATCTATATAGAAAATAAAATATATAAATTCAAGAAAACAACAAAAATATATTAATTAGTAACACTATTATGTTATAAAAGTGTTTGAGCCTGTTTATTTGGAGCAATTAATTATTTTATTTAGATTTACAAATTATCATGCAAATTATTAAAAGTGAAATATTTCAAATATTACAACTTAATTACCAAAAGATAGCCTGTAGGTTTTTTTAAAGCAGGATAACTATGTGTTTCTAAAAATCCTTTCTTATTTCTAAATGTAGAGGTTTCTTTCCAATATTTGTACAAAATGTGTTTAGGCTCAACATTGTTTTTTAGCCATTGAATTCTGTCTTCATTATCTATTGCAAATAATAAATTATTTTATTTTCTAAATTCTTGATGGTCGTAAATCACATTAAAAGAATTAATATAAAAACTAGTGGTAAGTACCGGCATCATCGATTACATTATTTTCATCATCATTAACACATGCTATAGTGGCAGGAGCTCCAATTTTCTTTATTTCTTTTTTTAGATTACAAAATTTATCATACAATTTCCCTCTAGTTGGAATTTGGATTTGTCCAGTTCTACAATATGGTGTGTAATATGTGTCCTTAGATTCAGTAGGGAAAATCATTTCTATGCCTAAACATGGGATGTATAGTTTTAGAATTAAAATCATTTTTAAATAAAAACTATTTTTTTATTATTTACCTTCAGCTAACAGTAAAAATTTTGATTTATTAATTTGGTGATTTGGTTCAGTTTGTAATTCGTGTTTGACTAATATAGATGTTAATGAATTTCTGGTAACACTATTTAAAATACCATTTGTTGTGTACAATTTTAAAATCATCAAACCGTCTCGGCATTTATTCAGAATTTCCTTTACAATGATTCCCTAGAAAAAGTTTTAGACTCAGTTCTTTTACTTTTATCAGAATACAAAGGTTTACAAAATTTTTATACCTTTTCGGGATCAACAACTGGTATCATTTTTGTCAATTGAGTTGAGGCAGGAATACTTTCTAAAATTATTTTGTAAATATTAATGGTAACTTCAATTTAGTGGTCAATGTTTATAGAATTTTAAATTTATAAAAAAAATTATTAACACTAGTTGGCACTTACCATCAATCAATGTATTACATTCATACATTATTAAAGATGGTGTTATTAAACCTGAAGCGTTATCATCCATTTCAAATGGTAAACTCTGAATATCAATACAACCTACATTATCTGTAGTTATGTCTTCTGAATCTAATATTATGAACATCTAATTAAATTGTTTAAAGGTACCTAAGGAGATTATTTTTGGCTAATTATTAAAAAATATAAATACATGACGTTCCAGGATTGATCGAAATATTTTGACCGTGTACATCTCTGTTAACTTTCTGTAGGGATGCAAAATAAATGTAACATAAAAAATATATTAAATAACATTTAATAATATTAGGTTATCTAATATAAGAATAATTGATTTTTACTGGCTTCCCAATATTATACATATACCTATCCTTTATAACACAATCAAAACATACTTTGTGTACCCAGTGGCATGTCCAGGGGGGAGATTAGGGATTATATCCCCCATTGCTTTTTTTTAGCCTACCTACAGAAAAAAAAAAACAATTCACAGCTCCTCTATTGGTTGTGGTTAGGTTAATTTTGATTTACTTTTAACTAAAACTATCTCGAAAACTATTTAATTTTATGCATATTATAAATGTGTCGATTTAATGATGTTATTTCAATTGAATAACTTAGTATATACGTGTACCTATACCTATTAAATTTATGGCTAGGTATAACTTATTTCCGTTACCAATAATTATTTCACAGTGGCAGAATATGATTATTATTAGGTATTTGGAATATTTTGATACATATGTGAAAAAAAATAAAAATTGTGAAATACTCATGTAAGTATGAATATCTTTTCACAATTAAGACGAGTAGTTTATTACTAATTACTTGTAAGCATTTAAAGTTTTGATGAGCCGAGTAATGTAAGAACATTTTGTGGGGTTCCTCTAAAAGTGTAAAATGTATAAATGCAGTAGTTGTACCTACACCTAATTTCATTTGTATGCACCATAACACTCCGAATAGGTAATATTCTGTTCTACATTATGGAATTCAAAACCTATGTTGTGATTATATAAGATAACTATAAAAAAAATTCAAAATATTTTTAAAACATTAATAGCTTATGAAATTATGAGTGTTGTTCGTTAAAAGAATCAAGGGGGTATAGACAGTCTTGAAAATGCCTGGGCACGCCACTATGTGTACCAACAAAATACAAGTAGATATTCAATTCTTTGTACTAATTCTAAGTATTGTTTTACTCACTTGATTCTCTATAAAATTAACAAATTTACTATAAAAAGAAGATCGTCTACCCATCTTTGGTATAAGCTCTCTAATCATAGACTCTGTTAATGTCAGAAATTGCTCACGCCCAATTTCTTCTTCTGAAATAATATATAGGTAGATAGAGGTATTTAAAACTAGGAAATATAAATTGTAATGCATTATTAAATAGTCTTGTATAGACGTATAGTAGGTAGGTACCTAATATTATATCAAAAGGATACTCTGGATACTTAAAGAAACACATTTAATTTAATTTTTAGTTTTTCAAAGGTTATAGTATTAGTTAAGGCCTTAGACCACAAATCAGAGTACAAATACAAACACCAAGTGTATTTTTAATGTTTTTAATAAGGTTATTAAATTATTAATCAATGGTAAGTATCTACATAACAAGATAATAATATACTGTATTAATATACTAAATATTCACCTACAGGCTACAACCACAGATTTTATAATATGCTACCATAGTCATATAATAGTCATAATCACAAATAATATATTCCATATTATACTATGAGCACCCTAACTATGTTATTTTATAAATAATAAGGAGATAAATATAAAAAAGTATTAACTTACCTTTAAATTGTTCGATCATATATTCAAAACCCCATTCGGACAAAATATTTTTCGTGAAGACGTCCATTAAGATAATTTCACAAGCAACTGAAGCAACAATAGGTTAACTGACTAATAAATCAAGACAACAACAGTACAACAGTACAACACTATAAACGTATAGTATATTAAAAATGCTAGTAAATTTTATGCAGCGACGCAATAGAACGAATAACTATAAAGGCAAATGACAAATTGACGATATATATTTTATAATGGTTAATGGTTGTCATTGACATTTGACTAAATTGACTGTCGCGCTTGCGGTCTGCGGAGTGTGTACTGCTACTGCAGGACGTGCAGGGAACGGGGAACGAGATTACAGCGTCGGTTGATATATAAGTAAACAACGAAAAAAGAAGGAAAACCCACACAAATTAAAAATACTAATATTCTTGATTTAAATATAGCAAATTTAGGAATATACCTATTTATAGCTAAACGTTAAGTGGAGACAACTAAACGATACAGTGAAGATTTTAAGCAACCATGTAATTGTAGTTGCTTCAACTAAATTGATCAGTTGAACAAATGTATTGTTTAACTTTATTATTCTGGTTATATTGACTAAACCATTTAGGTATCTTATAGTAAATCTAACTAAAATTTAGTTACTTCAACTATATTTTTCCCAACTATAAATATTTAGTTTATATTTTTTTCCGTGCTTAGTTGTGTACACGATGCTCCAAAAGAACATTCACTAGTCATTTACACCAATGCCCTATTTGTAATTTTATATATTTTTTGTAGGTATTTGAATGTGTTGTTCATTGGGTTAAGCATGAATCGGATTCTAGAAAATGTATTTTACCCCAATTATTGGAACATGTTCGTTTACCATTAACATCGGAACATTTTATATTACAAAAAGTACTTGAGGAACCTATTCTTA